ACCGCATGGCTGAGACAGGCCGTGTCCCCCAGGGAGACGGGCTTTGAAGAGATGCCCCCCTCCATCTCCAAAAAGACGCGCTGCTGTTCTCATCGCCTCCCACTGCTGTCCCTCCGCTTGCAACCTGTCGGGCTCTCACATTAGCACGCGCAAGCACCACATTTTGCAAACGTATTTGCTATTACAGCAGACAGGAAGAGATTAAGTGAGTGCTATAAAACTAACCTCCGCATCACTCAAAAGAAACAAAAGCAAAAAATAACAGGGTAATCGGATGCTCTTATGAGCAGGATATGCTCAAAATGACTTCTCCGTCCCATTACAAATGCTTAGAAACTGCACAGCCTCTCCAGCACAGTGAGATTTTAAAGTGGTTTAATGGGTATAAGGAGTTCAGAGCTGATAATGCCACTTCCAACCTTATCCTTTCACTGCATGAAAATAGGTAGTGGCTATTGACTGGTGTAAATTGGTTACTTTTAAAGCTGTATTTGCCAGCTTCAATGTGCTAAGAGTCTCTCTACAGAGTTTTCAGGGCCTGAATGTAATATGTGTGGTTAAGGAGGGGATATATTGAGTTTCTGCAACAGCAGACTGGTTCCAGTGTGTGCCCTACATGCTGGAGAGCTGGGGACCTGCTGCAGTTGAGCTTTACATCCCGATCACTAGGAGAAAAAACAGGGCTGCCAGAGGGTTGTTGGTCAATCCAGACAAATTTCTCACTTTGTCTTTTCCTTTTCTTTCAGGACAAACTGTTCACGATGTCAATCAAAAAGGAAGGTGCCCACAAGAAGTGGGCTGCCCTGAAGGAGAAACTTGGACCCCAGGAGACCGACCAGTCAGAGGCCAACCTGGAAAATGCAGAGCCGGAGCTTTGCATCCGTCTCCTGCAAATACCGTCGGTGGTGAACTACTCTGGGCTGAAGAAGCGGCTGGAGAACAGCGACGATGCCTGGATGGTCCAATTCCTGGAGCTGTGCGGGCTGGACCTCCTCTTGGAGGCTCTGGACAGGCTGTCTGGGCGAGGAGTGGCCAGGATTTCTGATGCCTTGCTTCAGCTCACCTGCATTAACTGTGTGCGAGCAGTCATGAACTCCCACAAGGGCATTGAATACATTGTGAGCAATGAGGGCTATGTCAGAAAACTCTTCCAAGGTGAGAAGACATCTTCCTGCTTCACCCATCACATGCAGCACGGTGGGGGGGGACTTCTCTGTTGCTTATCCTCCTGCCCTGCACCAGGCTTCTTGCAAATTGTTGATCGCAACTGGTTAATGAAAGAGATTGTTTTTTCTTTAAAATAATATTGCTTGGAAATGGCATTGCCTTTGCCACTCGGTGCTATTTGGATGGGCTCATTTCCACACAAATGTCTTCATAGTTCACTGAGAAACCAGGGATAAACCCACCCTTAGCTGTGCGTGGGCAAGAGAAGTCCTCGACCTTTCAGTTGTCAGGAGACATTTGCTATTTAATCTTTGTGAGCCCCAAGGGCAGAGGGAGAGGAATTGAAGGGGCTTGGAGACTTGTAGCCTGTAAAGAGGAGGGGGGGTGGCATGTTTTAGACTTGAGAGAGACCGTTTTCTGTGCTGCTCACTCTGTTCCTTCTAGAAGATGGTAGGTAATACCACTCACTTTTCTCCTGCCATTCACTTGGCTCGTCATTAGGTATGAAACTCATCAGGGCATCTCCTAAAACTTATTGTACAGCGCTTAGTGATGGTGGTGATAACTTCTGTGCTGCTCCACAGAGCTGAGATCACAGCTGTGCCCAGAAATCTTTATTAGCAGCTCTCTGAAATGCCTTTAGTATGAAAGCCAGCTTGCTCCCCTCTTCTGTTTTGAAGTCCTTTTCCTTCCTCTCCACCCCGCATTTTCTTAATCAGTGTGAAATATAAAGCTGTCATTTTTGTGCTGTGAAAAACAGGGGGGCACCCCAGCTTTCCATCAGTTGAGCTTCTTTGTGCACTGATAAAGGAAAAATAAGATGGTCTAATCCATTCCCTCCCAGCTCCCAGGGCTCACAAAGAAAGAGTAGTGGAAAAAAGGGAATATATGAGGACTGGTTAGAACAATTGGCCTGCTTGATATGCATATTGGGTGTTTCTGCACTAAAAATAAAGACTCATTAATTGAGGAAAATGGTTCATCTGCTGTTCTAGAAAAAACCCATATGTGAAAATGGGAAATAAAATGTGTGACTGTGAGTGCTGAGATCTTGGCTGCTGTTGCAGCATGTCACTGGTACATGGAAGAGATGAAGAACTACAAGCAGCACCAAAATGCCAATGGGGTACCTGTAGCATTTAATGTTCCGACTAGAAGTTATTGTCACATAATGCTATTGGGATGGGATGCCCATACATTGGGATATTTCTCTTCCCATCTTCTGGGTACTGGTTCCTCTCCTTCAGTCTTTTTTCTACCACTGGTCATAAGCCATGTAGCAGAAGACACTGAGATGCAGAACATTAATGTCATTAAAAATTATTTTTTGTTTTGTTTTGTTTTGTTTTTCCTCCAGCACTTGACACAACTAATGTCATGGTCAAAAAGCAAGTCTTTGAGCTCCTGGCTGCACTGTGCATTTACTCGTCAGATGGCCATGCTTTGGCTTTGGATGCCCTGGACCATTACAAGGCAAGTGTTGGGCTGCAGCAGGAGGTATGGCTCTGCTCTGATCCATGTAGGTAGATCCATGTACCACAGAAAAGGGCTGGGAGTGAATGTCATTTTGCTTCATTTTGGTAAGAGAGGCAGGGATTTATAAGGTAAAAACTGTAGGAAATTTGGCCTCGTCAGCATAAGTCCACAGTGCTGCTCTGTGACTTGTCTGAACAGGTGACTGCCCACTGCAAGGTCCTTTCTGGAAGGAAAAGCACTACCAGATTAGCAAAATAGATAGTGCCACATCCATGGGTTTCACTGGCCACAAGCTCAGGTAGGTGCATCAGTTATCAGAAAGTGTAAAGGGATCCAGGAGGAGTTTCACTGACTTTCTCTGGTGACCAGACCCTGCTCCGTGATGGAAAAGTGCTCCTTTTACCTGTATCTTCCTGTCTTGTGGACAGTGGGAAAAAATAAGAGGTTTTAAGATGCTAATTGCATCTGAGCACCTGCACCAAAGTGGCAGACATTTCTGAACTGTCTGAACAGAAATATCACTTGTGTTATTAACAGAGTGTGAAGAACCAGCAGTATCGATTCAGCGTCATAATGAATGAGCTCTCCAACACAGATAATGTGCCATACATGGTGACACTGCTGAGTGCTATCAATGCCATTATACTGGGGAAAGAAGAGCTAAGAACAAGGACACAAATCAGAAATGAGTTCATAGGTAAGGATATTTGTTGCACCTTACTTTCTCTGGACAAAATCAGTTGCCAAGCACAGGGCAGTTTTATTTTCAGGTGTGTCCATAAGGTGACTAAAGAGGGCTGGGGAGCAAAATTGCAAAAATGTTAAAGGCAGAGTCCTTTTTTTCAGTCTCCATTCTCTTCAACAACGTTTCTTTAACTAGTTTTATTTAACTTTGCTGCTTTCCCATAGCTTTGATCTTTTCTGGCATCCAAACAGCACTGTATCCCTTCAGCTTCTTCAATACACAACTATCTTATGTGGCCACATTTCTGTATGTTACAACTCCCCATAAGAGGACATAAGGTCTCTTCACCCTGTGTCTACTAGTGTGAGTCACAGAAGCATCCCTGTGTTTCAGGAATACTTTCTAACTACTGAAATACTGGGGTCCTAGATACCGTTATTAGGGTTCACCTCACGTAATGCGTGCATCCGAGCTGGTAAGCCCGGGCTCCATTTCTCGCTGTGGAGAGCAAGGGACATTTGACCACACCATTCATCTGACTGATTTTAGGTATCTAGTTCAGACTGAGGTGAATTATGCCCCATCAGTGCCTGTGTCCCTCAGTAACTCCACAGGGATGCTTCAGTGGTTCACACAGCTGCAGACATATGTACCATGGGTGTCTTTGTCTACCAGATGACCCTACCCACTTTGACAGATTCATCCGAATATACAACAGCTTTCCAGTATGTGAAGGGCACCTACAAGAAATCTAGAGAGGGACATTTTGCAAGAGCATGTAGTGGTGGGATGAGGGGTAATGGCTTTAAACTGGAAGAGGGGAGATTTAGAATAGATGTTAGGAAGAAATTTTTCACTGTGAGGGTGGTGAGGCACTGGAACAGGCTGCCCAGGGAAGTTGTTGAGGCCCCATCCCTGGAGGTGTTCAAGGCCAGGCTGGATGGGGCTTTGAGCAACCTGGTCTAGTGGGAGCTGTCCTTGCAGTGGCAGGGGCATTGGAACTCGATGGTCTTTAAGGTTCTTTCCAACCTAAACCATTCTATGATTCTATGCTATGTTGACATTTTCCATCTGCCAGAAGTGTTTATGAGCATAACTCTAAATACAGATTATAACAGATCAGTGCCAAGTAGGTCATAATGCCAATATATCCATTTTTGTGTTCTCCCAGGGCTTCAGCTGTTGGATATTTTAGACAAGCTAAGGTAAGGATCACTGTTTACATTTTCTTTTATAAATGAGATTCACAGTAACGTAGCTGTGGAAACTTATCAGCCTTCAGTTGTATGAAGTGTACCCAGCTGGAGTGGACCATGCTTGTATGCACCTATTACATGGGAACTGGAGGCATTAGGGCAGCATTAAGATGCTCTCTCCAACCACAGTGTCACAAGGACAGTTTTTGGCACAAATGGACATTGACAGAGGCTCTGGGCACAGATGGAGCAAAGCTCAGTGATGTCCTTGTTGAGGATGTGTTTCAGACTGAATCTGTAATGATGCTGTGGGCTCACTGGGCAGTTTGCTGTATCCAAACTCCTTCACTGCTGATATTGGTCCCACAAGCATTCAGCTAAGACACTTTACTAATGCCTATCTGGACATACCTGTCTTCACAGTTTCTTCATTTAAAAATGGTGTTCTGTTAGAAACACCCATGATAAATTCTAGAATGCGTTATATGTGAGTTGCAGTTATACTTCTAACTGGAATCGCTCCATTCAACCCCATAAAAATTAGGGAAGAGATGGTCTTTCAATACTGACAGCTAGCAAGGGTAGAGTTCCTGCACTGAGTGGTCTCAAGAGTGCTGAAAAAGTCAGCTTTAGAGTGTTTGGGGTTTTTTCAATCCAATTTTGAGTAACAGAGAAGGAAGTTTGTCAAACAGAAACATTACTGGAATATTTTCAATTTGTCTTGACTTTTTTTAAAAAAAAGAAGGTGGCCCAGTTTCAAAAAGGTAGAAATGCCACTCCGTTGTTACAGTTCCAAGAAGTCCATACAAAGCATACACTGGGCCAGGTTATGCCATGAAAAATCCCATTCATTTGTATGTGTCAACTGTAGAAAGAGGTATATTCAGTTCAAGAAAGGATGCACTGATGTTATTTGATCCTTTATAAATAAGGTAGAGTTACTTTCAATACTGACTGTCTGAGTCTGAGGGAAAGGGATAAAAGCCATTTAAACAAAAGCAATCATCTGAAAATCAGTGAAGGGCTCTCCAGTGAAAATGAATGCTGTAATATTGCAGAGACATAGAGGAGGAGGATCTTCTTATCCAGTGTGATACATTTGAGGAGTTCAAGATAGAAGATGATGAGGAATTATTAAAGATATGTGATGGGATAAACATGAACGATCATCATGAGGTCTTTTCATCTCTCTTCAATAAAGTAAGTAGATCCTCACATGGGGCACAAAGTCATGCAACGGCAAAGTTAACACACTTTGCTTGGAACCAGCCTTGCCATGATGGAAAGCTGCCCTCTCTTCCAGGTGAGCCGCTCTCCAGTCTCCATCCAGCTGCTGTCCATCCTCCAGAGTCTGCTGCACTTGGAACCATCTCATCACTCCAGCCTCCTGCTGTGGGAGTCCTTGGATGCAGTAGTGAACAGAGCCCTTTTGCTCGCAAATGACAGTAAGAATGACATATCCATCCAGCCTTGCAGTCTCCTCTTGTTTTCCCTCGTCCCACTTACTGTCCACAAAAGTCCTTCCCACATGCACAGAAAATAGTCTGTGGGGCTTCTAAAAGCTGAACAGAAGGTGGGACAAAGCTACACCTCCTGCATAGGGTCAAGTCTTGATGTGAAGCCCCAGCCATGCAGATAGCAGTGAGAGCTGGCCACATTTAGCAGTGGGCTCGGGATTCACGGTGTTGCTTTGATGGTTAAGCCCTGAGCTTTGGGTCATGGGAGTCAGTGGGAATCTGTCCTAATGGCATCCTGCTGCCAGTGTTGACTAGTCTTGCTGGCAGGCGTGCTCAAAACAGTGTTTGTGGGCCAGGACCATGGGAAGGAAATTGCCTGGAAGCTAAAAGTGCAGTTTTGTGAAGTTACACCAGGGAGTAGGCTCTGTGGCTCCAGGTCTGCTGCTTGGTGAGGGTTGAATAGCATGAACCAACCTTTGGGCACCATCCCCTTCTCTGACCCTGATTCGTTTCTCTAGTCCAAGGGAACACAGTCGAAGAAGTCATCGAGAGACTGCTATCTATCAAGAAACATCCAAACAAGCAAAAGCGAGCTGAAAACCGGCTGTCTGGGAGTGCTAATGGGGGCGTCCAGGCTGCGCTAGAACCATGTGCACGTGCAGCTCGGAGCCTAGTGGGATCATCAAACCCATCCAATGCACCAGCACCTCCCTCAGGGCCACCTGCCAATGAAAAGAAGAACTCATCCTCCCAGCTCACAGCCTGCTCTGCTTTGCCAGAGACATCTAACCCCCCACCCAACACTGCTCCTGCCC